CTAGGATTTAGGGGTTTAGGGTTAGGCGTTTAGGGCTTGTGGATTCATGGACAGTCTCATTCGACATGATCAAAACTCTACCCTGGCCGAGATTGTTGGTGTTGGGGCGCGATCCGAGTGCGGAGCACTGGGTTGCCTGGATTAAGCTCCATTGCACTGTAGCTACCCAAATAGTAGAGTAGGTAACCTTTAACCTTTTTTGGGTACTACATTCCCTATATGATCCCAAAGGTTATAACCTTTAGTTCCCCATGATACTGGACAAATAAGCTACAGTATGTTTTGTGGTAATTAGGAGGTCGGGTATATGGCTGCCGAATGGTGCTTAAGGGTGGTTATAAGGGGTGTTATTCGCATGTATGTGTGTGTGTACATAATTGTGTTCTGTTGGGTTTGTTTGGGCGTTATCAGCGTTTCATAGGCGGCCTTGTCGTGTTTCGTCTAAACTCTCAATATACCAAGCCCTAAAGCCTCAAACGCTTTGGGTGTGTTGAGTCGGTGAGCTGGGTGTGGGTGTTCAGGGTTTTACATAAACGGTTTAGGGGTTTAGGGGTTTAGGGTTTAGGTTAGGTGAGGGATTTTAGGGTTGATGTGTTGGGCATCAAGTTGGGTGATTGCGGGTTCTGGGTGTTGTTAGAGTGGAGCCTCCCAATGTCCATGTGCACACAGGAATATGAAGCGCCGGCTGCCTCGCTCTCCAGCTACTTAAAAACCCCCTTATCAAAACTTCTAAACCCTAAACCCTTAAACCCTTAAACCCTTAAACCCTTAAACCCTTAAGCCCTAAACCCAAAACTTCTACTTACAAGGACTTTAATGTTTAGGATGGGGAGCCTCCATACTTCAGACTTCGAAGCCCGGGCCTTCGTGATCCCGCAGGTTCACACTTCATTTCATAGCCGTAAGGGCCCAGGTACCTCATACTCATATGCTCTCCCAACTATTTCCCTAGATAACTACAATCTGCAGCCCAAGTTCCTTGTTAATGTGGCGGCCCGAATTATTCAGTGTGCCTCTTTAGTGCGTTTTTTTGCTTGTTCAAGCCGGGACCAAAAATTTGGGTGTCCTAATTAATGTGTTTTGTTTGGCCTGGCATTTTGGTTTTGGTTGTGTTGCTTCCCTTCTAGTAATGGTCAATCTTAAGCAGCCGCGACCTAAAAAACCCTCCAAACCCTAAAACCCTTTCCCTGAAGCCCGAAACTCGCCCTAAACCCGAAGCCGCCCTTAAGCCTAAACTGCCTAACCTCAACCGCAAACCCTCAAACCCTAATTTACCATACTGTACTATTACTGTACTACTACTGTACTACTACGGTACCTCTGCTGTGCTACTGCTGTACTACTACTGCACTACTACTGTACTGCTACTGGAACACTGAAGAGTTCCAGGCCTCAGATTTCGTCGATTGTGG